ATAATCATTTTAAATTAATCATGAATTATTCACCTGATAATTTTATCTCTCCATAATGAAAGAGAGGGATAAAGAAAGTAACATTAAGACCGAAGGTAAAACATAAAACATAATAATTAGGGATGTTTTTGTAAAATATTATTGCATTTTTTAAATTTAGATTTAGATCTATGATTAGTTTTCTTATAGTCTACGACGCTAATTAAGTTCTTAACTCTAAAGTAACCATTGTTTGAAAATGGATAGAGTATTGTGACAAAGGTTAATAGCTTAAGTATAAATTTATAATGTTTTGATAATTTATTTTTTAAAAACGATTATTAACTAATTTTATCCACTTTCGTCAAAATACTGTGTGATTCATCGAAACCGTTGTCTTACATTATGAACAGCAGGTACTGCCATGCTTTGATGAACTGGTTACGCGAGGCAAGTATTATATTAAAAAAAATTAATTAAGCTAGTTATTTATAATAAATAGATTTTTTTTTTGTAAAATACATTTATTAATCATGTGTATTAGCTAAAATTATTATTTGATGAAAAATTTAATATATACAACTATTATGAGAACTCCATTGAGAAAAAATAGATAAATATAAGAGACAAAATAGATTGAGATCTATATTTAATATCAAATTAAATGTCAATTTAATTCTTATATTAAGGAATAGAGGTAGTATGTGCGCAACTTTATTGGAATGCTTTGACTTTTCCCTCATCCCCTCCATTGAGATGAATCTTGATGAATAATAAATGAATGGTAAAATAATATTTGACATCATGATATTATCTATTAATTACATTTAGCAACATAATCTTATTCTCCAACAAAAAAAGTAACGTAATCTTATTTATGATGTATATAACACCATGATATTTTGTTTTTGATGCTTTAACTATCTTAATTTTATTTATAGTGTATCCAACACCCTAAATTATAAGTAAGATTATAGTGTTAAATGTAATTGGATAATAATATCAGGGGGTGCTAGATGTATCACAAGAATAACATCAAAATGCCATATGCATCATAAATAATACTACCTCCGGTCCTAAATATAAGAGCTAGTTGACTAATATGAATAGATTAAGAAAATAAGTTAAGTTAGTTATTTGTAATAAATAGGTATTGTCTTTTTTAAAATGTCCTTACTAATCAAGTTTATTAACTAGAACTACCATTATTAGAAAGATTATCTTGAAAATATATATATGAGAGACAAAGTAGATTGAGGTTTTATACTTAGTACCAAAATAAAAATTAAATGAGGTCTTATATTAAGGACAAGAGGTAATATTAGAGTGGTAGATGCTGGATACTACTTTACCATAAATGAGTAAAAGAAAAATGGTGAGACGGAGGTGGTTTAATTTGAGATTGGACCTGTGACTAATTTCTGGCTTCTGCCATCCTCGGTTAGTTTGCAATTAGGTGGGTGTGTAGTTAGGTAATCACATGACATCATCTGTCAAGTACTAGCCGAATAAATCCCAATTATCATACTGGCAATATCACGAGAAGACTTGCATCGGCCACTGCCAGCCATTTGCACATTGAGCAATACAAAGCCAGAATATCGATGAATCTGCCAGCTAAATTAATCCAGCTCGTCAATTTTGGACGATAGCTGAGATTATTTGAGGGATTATTAACGTATCGGTCCATATATGCATTTGCAATGATTAAACTACTCATGTTATGAAGTAGTAGCTAGGGAGAGGGGTGATGTTATAAATTAAGTTGCTTCTGTAATTATATTGAACGTGCTTAACCTTCTGTAATTCCCAGAGAAAATGCAATTTTTTTCTTCGGGTAGTTGGCTGATTCCCTGAAGGTTGCTAAGATATGAAAACTCGAACTTACATACAAAAGCTCAAAAACAAAAGTTCCTTTCAATATATTCAGTCTTTATTTATAGTTATCATCTAATACCTATCAACAAAGTCCTTATAATAACAGGAAATTCTTATCAATTAAATGACCTTCCATTGAAAATAAATTTTGCATTTTCTCACCATAAAAAATAAATTCTACATCTGAGATAGAGGATTTTGATCAATGCCACCAAAACTTTACAGGCCAACTTGTGCATGAGCGTACCGAAATGGAGACGAATGGGAAAGGTTCAAAGCAGAAAGCTTTTAGGCGAAAGTGTGAGTGGTCCAAAAGCACTGACGAGACCATATATTCAAAGGAGGAAAGACGATGAGATCTGATTTCAAGCGAAGACAATGCGTGCCTTCCATTAGGCTCCGCCCCTCTACCTCTGATGACCTTTTTTCGGCACGAACAAAGCCAATTCTATTAATATTCTTTTTTTTCTTTTTGCCAACGGATAATTCTATTAACATTAAAAAAAACGGGGGTACACTCTTTTTTTCCCTTAATAATCTTCTTGTTTTTTCTATGTTTTCTTGACAGGAACTAATAATCTTTTTTTTTTTTAATACTCTTCACGAATCATGACTTTCTTTGATATTGACGTTGATAGGATGATATAACTAATAATAATCACGATGCAATTTTCGGCCAGGTTGCTGCTCCCAGCCCCTAAACTTGTCATCATCCTTTCCTTATTTTTCTCCAATAAACGAAAGAAAGTTTAAGTGAATTATACATAAAAATTCATCGCATGTCATTTTGCCTTTTTAAAGAACAGTTCCTCATTCTTCGCTTGAAACTTCTTTAAGTGTGAAGTTGTGAGTTACATTCTACTCATTCATGCATGAGCTTCTTTCATTATATTTATTAATGAAATATTATGTCTACATGTTTTATTGAAGTCAGGAAAAACCGTAAACATTACAGTTGTTTTTATATATAACCATGTTCCTTACCTCCACGTTCTGTTGTGATTATCATATGCATATATAATGCTTGCACACTTTATATAATGGTGCCATGAAATTTATGTTCGCAACTTGGAGTTATTCACTAGTTGTTTTTTTGGACTATATGAGCAATCAATTAATTAATGCAAGGATTATATTATTGAGCCCTTAAATACATTATTATTAGAAAATAAACTCTCCCATGCGCGCCTGCTTCAAAACCACATGCGCATATAAAAAGAGGAGCGCAGATAAGAACCCACAGGTAAACAAATACTTTGACACATTCTCACATTGAATATTTGAGTCAATGATCTTTGGGATAAGAACCCACAATAAATATAACAAAACTTTAATCAAAACTAATAACGCACGTCTAGATGAAGTTGATGTCATTAATTGAAATGTTTCAATGTCTAAAATAATGGAGGCAATTACATTTGACTAAATTTAAATTGGCTTTTTTTTTTTTCATTTGAAGAGCCTTCCTTCGAAAGGCAATCAACTCTTTCACTCAGGGCTAGATTAATTAACTGATTAGGTGTAGTTCAGTAAATTAGTTTAAGTCTCTGCCTGGCGGTTTTAATATAGAGTGATCCACAGAGAAGCGCTGGAGCTACCCGCAAGTCATAAAAAAGGATTTATATATAGCTGTTTTGTTTGTTTTAGTTTTATTTTGGTTTACGTGTGTCTTGGAAATAAGTTACGCCATTTTGTTTTTCCTGTTTTGGTTCATTGTTAACGTCAAAGCTTGATTAAATGATCTTACAATTATATTCACTATAATTAAGTCACCATCATGTAATAAAAATATTCAGAGCTTACCAAATATATATGTACATATTTCATTTCAAAGATTAGACTTCACGAATCTTGTTAAAAAAAAAAATTTCTTATCTCATCCCATCATTCTTGATATTTAATTTATCTTTTTGTATAATTTTTAAACATGTAATAAAAAAATTAGTAATTTTATTACAATGCCCATACAGAAGGGCTAGCAGGGCAAAGGATACTAAGACGTATAAGCCCACACTCAGTAATACAACAAATAACCACCAACACTAAGCCCTACTAAAGGCGCAGACACATACTCGTAAAAGAAAGGCCTATTAACCGATGCTGCTACAGCCACGCAAATAGCCCTAAAAGCGAAAAAGAAGGAGAACTAGTCTTATCTCGTTCGTGACCCATACCTATGACTCACTTCACTTGCTGTAAAGAAAGAGAATCAGTCTAGCTTCAGGGAATTAGTCGTAGTCAGTTTTTGATTGGGATCCAGCATACGTGAGCCTGATTGTTTCTCAGGATTCATTACATCATGACGAAGACACTGGCAGTTACTCTCTCCATTTCGATTTATAAAACAGTTTTTTTATTGGTCTCATATTCCGTAACATAATATGTTTTGGAGAAAGTAATTAGGGACCTCGTTCCAAAAACACCCTTTATTATTAATTAAGTGAGTTAATTAGAGGTTAATGTGAAATGAAGGGCATTATTATTTGAAAATTTATACTTTCTTTTTTTTGGGAAAAAAAAACATTAAGACTTCTAACTCTATTGAATGAAGTTACTCGATATTTGCAATTTGCTTAAAAATCGTCTTACAGATTGAAACAGATGGAGTAACTTGAAACAACATCTGATCTACATCATAAAAACAACTTTGCATTCCCTCCAGTTGTGTTTTCTAAGTTTGAATGCATTCCAATTTTTAGTTACCGTTTCGCCCCTTGTTTATTTCAGATTTGAAGAATATGAAATTAGGAGGCAGTAGTGTTTATTTAAAGAAAACTAAGGGCATTTCAGGAAAAGGTAGACTAATTTAACCAAAAATACCTAACTCAAAAACTAATATAATCCTGAAATATACTACCACCGATCTTTAATATGAGATCTTGTTTGACTTTCAATTTGATCCTAAATATAATACTCCAATTTATTTTGTTTCGTATATTTATCCTAAATCCATGGTAGTTCTTGTATTAATTGCACATATTAAATATTTTATCAAATGATATTTGATTAATAAGGATATTTTATAGGAAAAACACCTATTTATTACAAATAATTAATTTAATTAATTTTTTTAATTTACTCAAATTAGTTAATTAGTTCTTATATTAAAGATCGAAGGTAATATAACCTAAGTGAGGGAGTAATTACCAATGTCAAGTTGTCAACTTGGTTGGGAAAAAAATAATGTCAATGGGCACAATACAAATCTTCTAATGATACACAGCGATCTCACGATCAGCTGAATTTATTTTAACTTGGAAACATTTTACGCCTGCTGCATCGTTGAGGGAATTGGTGCCACACAGGCATTTATTTAACACAAGCATCACAAGACACAGATAGAAACGAATCCGCTGCTGATAGCTTCTTGGATCTCTAGGCTTGTCCCTCCGCTCTTGACTTGCGGAGCCACCTCTCTTCAGATAGTTGTTTCGCAAACCTACAACAAGTTCAATCGGATATGATTAGTTGTCCATTTCACATCTTTAATAGTTTAAAATATATGTTTTATGATAAAAGTATTTTTTTATTGATTATAAATAATAAAACTTACCTTACATTAATTAATAATGAAAGATATGTAGTATTAGTTTTCTAGAATAATAGCCATTAAATGTGAAATGAAGATAAATGTATAATTTTTTTTTTGGGCATTGTATATACGTTACGTCGTTACCTTTTGAGGGCCTCGGCATTAGTCTCATGGCCAGCAACCTCGAAATCTCCCGTTTGCAAGTTAACCCTAGAAACTCGTTTGTTCAATAAATCTTCACCAACTTTGACGAGACCTTTCAAATTCTCGTCGGTGGTCACATCTACCGAAGACAAGTCGCCGGTTAAAGTGTCATCCTGTAAGTTTCGTTTGACACAAAAAAATAAAGAGCTAGCTTAGTGAGCAATCATCAGTTATTTGTCAATAATTTTTTTTTGGCCAAACAGTTATTTGTCAATATTATGTTATCAATTCATATCATTATTTAAGAACCTGGATGCGGAGATAGTTTTTCTCGGAGTAGAGAGCTCGGAAAAGAGAGCCAAGGTGGAAGTCAACCATGTCAGCACTAGCTTGGCCAAAACAGTCGATCAAGGGGTTGGATCCGTTGCTGGACAGCCAGCTGAGGATGCCCCAGTCAGCTGCCGCTTCAGCAGAGTATCGATATTCCTGTTTGTGATTCCCTGTTCCTAACGATATTACCAGAAACCTGTCATACTGCATCGCTGCTACCCCAAACTCTTTCCTCTCCTCTGCGCTTATTCTGTTTGTCACTTCTGCCATCGCTACGAGAGTCTGCAAGCAATCCTTAATTAGCTCAAAGACTTATTTAGTTATCCATCAAGATCGAGCTTATATGTTAATTTTTCACTGTTTTTAATCCCCTAACGTCCATTATCTTCGAGTTTGAAAACAATATTTTAAGTACCACCTACAGGGTTATTTGCAGCAACGCCCCCGTCAATAAGGTTAAACTCCCTGAGCACTTTGTCTTTATCGTCCTTGGTCTCAAAATAGTGAGCTGGAAGATAAGTGGGCGCCGCAGATGTCCCGATGCATATGTCTGACATCAAGGCATCTAATTCTGGCCTTCTCTTCAGCTATTATTCCACAAATACAAGACAAACAATTACTTTAAGAATTGCAGAAATATGTGTGTGTGTGTGCATATATATATATATATGGATATTACAACGTATGCGTGGGGCCCAAGAGAGATAAAAGGTCGAACCTTGAAGCTGGAAAAGATGGTGGGTTGAACGATCTTTATGTCAAATGTGGGGATGACCACATTTGTCAGGGTCTGGTGCAATTTTGTGGCTTTCAGTTTCTCCCTAAGAAGGCCGTGTAGATACTTGCCGTCATACTTTGGTCCAGACAGGATTTTGCCGAGCTTCACCACATCGGAGAGCAAGTGACTGGAAATTTGACGGTAGCATTAATTATTGTCATCATATATGAACTAGCCAGGATATTACGTCGCTGAATGCAGTCACAAATTATCAATACTCAAATTAAACATAGTAATTAATACTGACGTTTGCTGCGGGAAGATTTTTGGGCCATGCTCAAGGTAGAAGTCCTTGATCTCTTTGGCGGCATATAATGGTCGATTCTTTTCGTTGGGGGCAGTCACCATTGCAGTCAATAAGCCGCCAGTGCTGGTTCCTGCTATTACATCAAAATAATCCGCCAATCTCGCATCCTCACCGTCCAGCTTCTGCATCAACACAATATATATATATCCGCGTCTTATTTTAATTTATACATGATAGAATGAACTCGTGTAGTTTGTGCATGTACAGAAATTGAAAGCCATGGTGTGAATTCAGTACAAATTTGAGTAATATGGGACATGCCTGGAGCTCTGATTCAAGGAAAGCCAGAATAATTCCGGGAATAATTCCCCTAATGCCACCGCCATCAATGCTAAGCACGGTGACTAAGTTTCCGGTGCCTGGAGGCACGTCGGCGTTGGTAGCTTCCATCAAGCTCGAGAGGCTACGAAGGGGACAGGAAAAAAGAACTAAGTGACCACTTAAAAACGCTCTGATGTAAGGAGAAAGCAGAGTTTCTATGGCTTTGATCGACCAGCTCCTACCACTATTTATAAGCCTCCAGTAGGAAAACTATGCACAACGCACACTTTCGTGTTTCGTTTAATTACTACCTTGTTGATTTTTTTCTTTTTCGTGCTCATGAAATTTTGAATTGAAAATAGATAGATTATCTCCACGAGGCGGCGATCGATACTGTGTTTAACTCTTTCTGCATGCCTCGCATTTTCTACCGTCCATTTTTGTCTTCCATGCAAATGATTATAAGCCAATTCATTAGTCAACAGCGGGTAAGAGTGGAGAAAACATAGCACAACAATTTTTTTATTACCAGCTTTAACACGTTGAATAAATTTTTTTTCCTTTATTACCAGCTTTAACACGTTGATAGCTTTTCAAATGCATTATCACATTGAATTAAAATAATGACCACTAAACATCAAATTAAATTGCTGATTTTCCTTGTTTTTTTTGTTGTTTCTACTTTGTATTGCTATACGAAAAAAATTTGGATTTTTTTCTAGATTAAAATACTCTGACTCCATTAGCTTCTATTTTAAAAATATATATTTTAGTCCAACATATTAACCATATACATTAGAATACTCATTTCTTAAAGATCACAAATATAATATTTGTTGGCTGAAAATCACAGTAGTCTTAACATAAACTGCGCACATTTAACTAATTTATCCCTCCAGGAAAACATATATTCTTAGTTTTGTAAACTTAAGATGCAGTTGCCCAATTAAATACTGCCATTTTTTTGTATTTCGTGTTCGTGTTTAATCATTGAATTTCTCCCAATTTATTTAGGCCTAAGGTCTCTTAGAAAAAGACCAAGACTACATTCGACTTGGGTGGAGAGAGAGAACAAAACTAAAAGAATATTGAAAACCTGATTCTCAGGGAAGCGCCCGAGAACAAGGATCGGCAGTGTCTGCTTCAATCATCCGTGATTGCTGGAAAATAATTTAGGGCCTTTTGGATATAATCTTCGACGGAAAACGTTACATAACATTACATTCTGCGGTTCTCGAACAATATTTTTGTTAAAGAAGTATTTCAATTAATTCAAAACATAATTTAACAGTCAAGTAACAGTTGAATAAATAGGAAAAAAAAATCTTAAAAATAGAGAGGCGGTTGAGTGCCCAGTAATTAGCAAAAAGAAAGAATTTGTTTGGATTATAATTCATCCTCACTTGATAATGGCACGCACTTGAGGTCTAATTAAATTCGAGCAATTGTTATGAAGATTATGCTGTTGATCTTTCACCAGAAGAAATAATGCTACTGACAGGTTAGGAACAATGTATAATATACTAAAATATCATATGAAGTAATTATGTGTAACACGCAAGTCCCCACCGGCTTCGACGAGTTTACATCTTCGATCGTATGCGAAACGTTGAAGTGTGCAAACTCCAAATTTATTTTAATTGAACTCACGATTCACGTGGCCTTGAAGATAATTATAATATGCTAAATGTTATTTATGCATGTTGGGATGTCAGAATCATGACAATGTTTGATTTAACTACAGTCAACTTGTTGTGTGTATCTATCAGCTCGTTTAACATACTGGGATGGAAGAGGTAGGTAACGTGATTAACTGTGAAGAACCCCGAAATAAACTCACTGTTTTATAAAGTGGGTCGGTAAGACAATTATGCACCTGGAGTACATATTAAATAATTAATCACTTGTTCTTGTCTCTGGAAAAATCGGCAAAAAAAGAAAAAAAAATCTCTTTGAATAAGTCAGAATAAAATGAGTAGATCAGCGGGCAAAAAAAATGCTTAAAATTTGTATTATTAGTTATGGAACTGTTTCTAGACGAATAGCGTCCGTCAATCAAATGTCAGTATCACAACCAAGAAATGCGGCAGCGATATTAAGAGCCTGAATTACTGAAGGTTATAGTTTTTAACCATATCTGTTTCCCCCCTCCCATTTTTACCCACAAAACTTCCAAGGGCCGCTTAGCATAATGAAAGTGGAAGTGAGGATGCATGGGAGATCATTTTTTTTGCCCGTTTGGTCTTGGAAGCCGAACATTGGACCATTTTCTCCTTGATAAGTTTATTTTTACTTTAGTAGGAAGGCTCTTCCATCGTATCGAAGTGGGAAGAGGAACTCATAAAAACAGGTCAGTGGAGAAATTTCCCAACTTAATAATACACCTCCTTTTTTTGGTGACCAACAGTGCACTCGCTGTTGGGGTCAAATTAAGACTCCCAAGCAAAAACAAAAAAGGCATGGAGCAGGCCTAAACCCTCTTGCGCCGACCAAACTTGCCGACACATTTAGCACAGCCGAGCTTCAAATAATTCAAGTACAGGTTAAAATCTACTAACCAAGCCATTTCTCGATCAGCCTAGTTTGATTTTTTCAAGTTCAAAACCAAACTGAACCAAAAAATTGCAAAACCGAATCTAATAAACTGAATTTAATTTGATTCAGTTTGATACATCCAAAAGTGGGGATTGCTTTAAATCGTGGAAGCATCGCCAGGTGATAACTCCGAAAGCAAGTGGTCATGCTTGTTGGAACGCGGGTGAATTGAAGGGGTCATGGATCACAGGTTATTTGGGCCTCATTTTGAATTGAATATTGAGCGCGTGCTTAGACTGCACACTAATATTAGCCCATTGAATTCGTCGCTTGCCGACACGGGAGCTTGACTTATAGATCAATTCAATCCACTCAGGCCCAAGAAGAAGCCCATTATAAGCAGCCATTATTTTTATTTGGTGATTAAAAATGCTGTGTGACCAACGGGGTTTGGTCCAAGATAAGCGGCTTCGTACCGTTGAAGTGAGGTCTCAAATTCGAGCCTCAATTTATGCAAAAATCTCCGTTGAGATATTCACCCACCACAACCAGGTGCGTGATGCAGGAAACGGAAAGAGAGGGATTCGAACCCTCGGTACGAAAAATTCGTACAACGGATTAGCAATCCGGGATGGATTGGTGTGGTTTCTCTATGCCTAGGACACCAGAATATCGAAGCATGAATGAAGAAAGGCATGAGATAAAAGCATACTGACTATTGATTGTGAGGTCCTAATTCTTGACTGGAGGGGACACCAAAGGCCTCTGCCCTTCCATCCCTTAGATAGATAGTCGGAACAAAACTCCTATATACTGGATGGGTAATTAAAAAAAAAAATTGCTGTGTGAGCCTTCTGTGCCCCCAAGGGAAAAAAAAAAAACTCCGCGTGAGCCTAACGGCAAGTCTTGTGCATGAAACTGCTGTGAAAGAGAGTAATGTTCTTAGCATATTCTCGCGGCAAGACTCCTTATATAGATAGATCCTCAGCATGGCCACAGCCGCTCCCGCCATCGTCGCCCGTTAGTTCTGAAACATTATCTGGTCCCTTCCTCCCACTCCCTCTTGTTTTCATCATCTTTTCGATTTTTACATTATCTCTGTCCTTCAGATGACTAGTAACATGAGCACAAGGAAATGCGGGTTAATTACAATAATAATTTGCTAAGGCGGAATAATGCACCGTTTCGATTTTAGAATCCGATGCTATCTTAGCTTTCATCATCATCATCGCCACATTTCTGCTTCGTCGTCTTCTTTTTCCAAAAGATCCAGCAAACCATCTGACAATGCTGCAAATCTCCCAATTGTCTCCCCGCCAGTTTCACGCGACCATGTCCCTGCCGCTCTCTCTCCTCCTCCAACTTCATCATTCTCCCGCGGTTCCGTGATTGCTATTTCTACTACTTTGGTTTCCTCTTTACTTGCCTCCATCGCCTATCTTTCTTCTGATTACCATAATCAACGGAAATCCGACGATAAACCCTCCAGTCCTCTCCTTGCTGGTGTGGAACGCGCCGTGCACAAGTCCAGTGACTCTTTCAACCAGATTTTCCGTCACATCAAACGCACGAGCGTGGCTGCTTCCGTCCTCTGGCAGTCATTGACCTCAGTGTTGTCTTCCGCCAATCATGAGGTTCGTTCTGGTTTCGAGATTCGTGTCGCCGCATTGCTTGCTGACATTGCCGCCGCAAATTCTAGTCGCAGGGCTGCGATCGTCGGAGCTGGTGGCGGCGCCGTGGTGGACTGGTTGCTGGAATCGGTGGCCGTTGCCAAGGATGGCGGTGGCACTCAGGCAGAATCGGCGAGAGCGCTTGCTTACTTGATTGCCGATCCCAATGTATCTGCTATTGTACTTGGGCGGCCTCACGCCATTCCAAATCTTTTAAAGTTTATTTTTTCTTGTCATCCTCGGCGATTGAAGAAGGTACTTCTCTATCTTCGTTATATTTTTGGATTGAAATCTACGTGTCAATCATTCAGATTAAAGACGTGGTTTATTACCGGCATTGGCTAAGTGAGCAATCCGTTAATTTTAGCACGAAGTGTTTTGAGCTTATTGAGTTGTTATGCGCATTGCACAGGGCGCTAGGATATGGTCTTGTAACTGTCATGTACTTATTGTAATGTCCCTCGCTGAGGGTAAGGATATTAGTTTTTCTTAGACGCGCAACCCTTGTTCATTGTATTACATTATTTATGCTCTGGCTACTGTAGATTTATTAGATTAATGCAAACGGCATATCGTTGATACTTTCTATTCTGGTTTTAATGTTGGCGACATGATGCAATTTTATGTGGCAGCAGCTTTCAAGGCGGAGTTCTTTTGATATGTCTGATTCTTTAAAAGGGAGGAGCATGCTTGTGACTGCCATTATGGATATCGTTACTTCCAGTTGTGACAATGTAGAAGAGATATCTTTTAAGCCTCCTTTGCCAGGAAATGCCGATACCAGAGATATTCTAGCTGCCTTACAGGTAGTTGAGGAAGGTTGTTTGCACTTGGATGAGCCAAGCGGAAGTGAAGGTGATGAAGATGGCGGAATAGGGAGGAGAGTTGTTGGAATAAAAATACACGAAGGTACTACAGTTTTAGGGCTTTCAAGAACCAGCTGGCTAACAGAGCTGGATAGCTCTGATTATAGTCAGCCAGAGCCAGTAAAGAATCATGCTCCTGAAACTCTTGTGTTACAAAATAAGAATGATGATTTTCTTGGACATGCAAAAATGCCCTCTTCCGTTGTCCCTGGTCTCTGGGATGATTTGCAATGGGAACATGTTGCTGTTCCTTTTGCCACGTGGGCATTGGCAAATTGGGCAATGGCATCACAGGCAAATAGATCTCATATTCAAGAACTGGATAAAGATGGATATGCTATCATGTCCGCTTTAATGGTCCCTGAGAGATCTGTGAGATGGCATGCAAGTTTGGTGGCACAATCACTATTGGAGGATCGCAAAATGCCTTTGAATGATTTTGTTTCTGATTTGAGTTCCAGGCTTCTTTCTACTATATCCGAGGCATGTGAGCATGAAGACATTTCACTGGCTCAGGTTTCTTTGTCTGCCTTTCTGTTATCTGTTGAGAGGAGTCGTGGGGCCAGGAATATAGTGATGGAAAAAGGTCTTAACACACTGAGAGGAATTGCCAAGCAGACAACAAAGCACACAAAGGTGCAAGAAGCAATAGCAAAGGCATTAGAACTTCTCTGCACAGAAGAACTGCATTTTTCCCTTCAAGAGGGTCAAAAGTGGTCAGGAATTCTTCTTCCATGGGTTTTTGGAAAATTTTCTTCTGATGCAATGCGATCTTCAGCTATAAAGATTCTCTCTGGGATCCTTGAAGATTATGGACCATTGACTGTACCAGTTTCTCAAGGATGGTTAGCATTGTTGCTAACTGAAGTCCAAAGTTCTATCAAGAAATCACATAATAAAGGCACTAGTCCGAAAAGTGATAATGTCAAGGTACGCACCATCTTTTTCTTCCTCTTTCATCTTGTTAGTGAAGAGCTCAAAATTACTGTTCTCAGTTCATATAGTTATCTGGTTTTATTGCTGAAACTTCTAGTCAGCGATTAAATACCCTTTCTTCCTATGTTGACAAGTTGGAGGTAACCAAATTTTGCAGACTTTGATCTATAACTCAAATGCTGCTTCTGCTGCACAAGTAGCAAATCAGTTAGCTAGTGCCGTTGTTAATCTAGTGGCTAAACAAATGGAACCAGCTGCTTCTGATTCTTTGGAAACATTCCCACTGGCAGATTTTCTTTCTTTGGATCCATTCTTGGGACTATTTAAAAAATTAAATAAAGATAGTCTGCCAAAATTAGATGCTGCAAATTCTGCCTTGGCGACCCTAAAAGGAATTAAAGCTTTAACTGAGGTGTGTGCTGAAGACTTTCAACATCAAGACATGATTGTTGATTTGGGTATTTTGTGTTTGCTAAGGCGCTTTTTATTAAGCGATGATTATGAGAAGCTAGCTGCTAATGAAGCATATAATGCATCTAGAGCTCATGAGGGGCATGAGCGGAATTTAAATAATACTGATGAACCATCTATATCAGATATAAATGACTCATCTAGTGTTCGGGTTCCACCTACAGCTCGTATCCGCAGGCATGCAGCTCGGCTGTTGACCATCCTCTCAAACCTTCCCAAAGTCCAGAAGATCATAATAGCTGATGGAATTTGGTGTAAATGGCTTGATGATTGTGCTAATCGTAGGCTTCCTGGTTGTCAGGACCTCAAGATGCAAAGTTATGCCAGGGCAGCACTCCTAAATGTATTTTGCAATTACCAGCATGATGAGAAAACTGGAAGTAGAACCTCATCTGACACTGGTTTACTAACTAATAAGAACTCTTGCCCCCGTTTTGGTGACATGATATTCTTAATAAATCCTCATCTTTCTGTCTGGGAATGCCCCAGAGAAATAGATCAAGAATACACAGTCTCAAAGGAGATATCTGTGGCTACTTCTGATAATGAGGATGGAACCAAACAACCAAATGATGGTAGCTTCACTAATCCTACTAATTCATCCAAAAGCAGCGCAGCTACAAAGTTGCCTTCAATAGATGTTATTTTTGTCCATGGCCTTCGTGGTGGGCCTTTCAAAAGTTGGCGCATAGCTGAGGACAAATCCTCAACACAGTCTACCTTGGTGGAGAAGATTGATCAGGAGGCAGGAAAGCTTGGAACCTTCTGGCCTGGTGAATGGCTTTCCAATGATTTTCCTCGAGCTCGCATGTTTACCCTAAAGTACAAGGTTTGCTTTAGTAAAAGCATCAAATTTTTTCCTTATATCTTAGATGTTAATTCCCTATTACTCTCTTAGTTTTTGTAGAGAATTTCTTGTGGTAGGATCACCATTACTGCTTGACATTCGAATAAATTATCTATGCAGACTAATCTCACACAGTGGTCTGGAGCTAGCCTCCCACTTCAGGTTAGATTTTCTTCGTCATGCATATATCTATATTTGGCTATGTACAATCTCATCTTAGGGTTTTCAGTTTCTATTAGCCTTGATAGGCACTGTAAAAAGTTTCCGACTTGCAATCACAGCAATGGTCTCTTTGTCTGTGTATGATGTTAATTAAATAATAACTTGAGATTGTAGGAAGTGATGCAGTCAGTGTTACTACTTACATAACCTGTTGCTTAAAATGAAATCTTATTGTGAGGACTTGTTGAGTTCATTACATGCTTGCCTTTGTTACCAAAAACTATAGTTAATGCTTGATCCTAATTCTGTCATCTTTTGGCACCGTATGCCTTTGATGCCACAGCCATAGGCTAGTTGGATAAATTGTAGACTCTTTGGAAGCTGAAGCTGAAAGCTGTGTCGTATTAATTCTTTTTTTCTGGCAAAAATTGTGGTTATTTGTTATTGAATAATCACAGTTGTGCTGCCTTTCACAGTCCTTGAAATGCTCATCCTTTTTTCAGTTTTACCCATAAAAGCCTTTGCCTCTTGGAATATTCACTTTGGCCAAACCCTTCTGTGCATTGTCTCAACTGCCTATCTCTCAAAGTCAAAACCAAACCTTACTATCACATACAGTACATATATGGTAGGCTGGCTTCCTGTATTTACCCTGCATCGGCTGCTCTTAAACCTTCACTTTTCTTGCTGCTTTGATTGCTATCAATATATTTAATAAAATTTATAGGAAGCCGCACTATTCATAAACATTGAACCATGCAGCTCACAGTAGACTCCGTGCAATAGATGGGGCTCATTATAGAGTTCGCATCTAAGTTCACGCATCTGTTTACCAAAATTTGCAGGAAGTAAGCTCTATGCTGTTGGAGAAGCTTCTTGCCGCAGGAATTGGGAATCGGCCTATTGTTTTCGTGACTCACAGGTTAGCATGGTTGCTGGAACTAGAATTAATATTGCGCGCTTGCATATTTTATGCGATATTCATCCAAGGAGAACTGTTTATCATCAAGACTGTTTAATGCTATTTGGGTTTATACTGTTGCTTATAGCTCTTGCTAATATACGTTATAGACTTCCGCCTTAGGTTCCTTGTGGAAAAAAAAATTATTCTAACTATTTTTTTTTTATACAAATTGTTATCCAATGATTTTACTGATGGTTTTAAGCACCTAGGCCTAGCCATCTGTTTTTTGCCTGCATGCTTCATGGTTTAATAATCAATGGTTTTCCATTATTTGCAGTATGGGGGGCCTGGTTGTGAAGCAGATTCTTTATAAAGCGAAGGAAGAAGGTTTTGATAACCTTGTAAAAAATACTATAGGGATAGTATGTTTTAACTTCTGAATTATAAAATGTTTTGTTCTCAATTTTTTTAGAAGATCTCAGTGTGGTTCATTATTATTATTATTATTATTATTATTATTATTATTATTATTTTGGATTTAGGTCTTTTATAGCTGCCCACATTTTGGTAGCAAACTTGCAGATATGCCTTGGAGGATGGGCCTTGTGCTTCGCCCTGCTCCAACGGTTAGTATAGCTCTCATTGTACTAAAAATGATGAATTTAGCTATTTGATTTCTTTTTTTCATCTAATTAATTGCTGTATATGGAATACTGTTTTACGGATTGTTTCATAATGCTTCATAGATAGGGGAGCTGAGAAGTGGATCTTCAAAATTAATAGAGCTAAATGATTATATTCGTTACCTTCATAAAAAGGGGATGCTTGATGTTCTCAGCTTTTGTGAGGTGATCAGCTGTTATGTTCAATCAATGTCTTCGCCATTTATCTGTGATTATTTAGTCAGTGATTATTGTTTTGCAGACCACAGTAACTCCAATAGTTGAAGGTTATGGTGGTTGGGCCTTAAGAATGGAAATTGTATCAATAGAATCTGCATATCCTGGATTTGGCGAACTTGTAGTGAGTATATTCTCACTTTACAGTTGACAATATAAAGAAAAAATGGGAATAAATAAATAAATACTATGTCTAAATAGAATGCATGAATTAATGGCATTCCCTCACGGTAGTGAGGCTTGAGTTTATAAACCTTATTTGTATGACATTGATAGTTTAGTTAATTTTGTGTATTTTTTCATCTTAACCTGCTTGAAAGATTGAGAGAGTCATTTAGACGAATAGCCACTAGTAATTAGTGTAGTACTTAAATGACATGATTCTTGTCCTTTACAAGTTGATTTTTAGCGGTGGGTTCCAAATGTTATTTATATCTCTATCAATTGGTATAAAAGATGGATGAACCTCTATCTAAAGGACTGCCTGCAAGGGACACAACCTGATAGTCACCGTGAGAGTTTGTGCTCTTCAGGGGCAGCCCTATGATGGAGTCCCACATTGAATAGGCACAAGTAATTCTTGTGGGACAAGTGGCCTGGTTTTTCCCCCTTGCAAATTGGTTTCCAAGGGGGTTGTCCATGGTTGCTTAGCTGTCTATCTGTGGCACAGAGAAAATAATATTAAATTTGGTCCTTAACACTTGTGATGTAATTGCTGTAAGATGTTAAAGCTATAGGATAAGAGTGGCATAAAGAATGACCACCTGGGGGTAATTTATGTGTTAGTGGAATGTGGATAGTGACCAAAGTTCAAACCCCTTCTTATGTAATAAAGGGCCAAAAAAAAAAAAGAATGACATAAAGGATTAGAAAACTTCCAAAATGGTGTGGGCAAAGTTGATATGTGTTCCATGACTGAAGCAAGTTATTCTGCAACTGGATTTTCTTTTGCGTCGCCTATATTTTCATGAATTTGTGTTATTTAGCTGCCATAAATGTCTCAATTTGTCTCAATTACTGTTTTGGTATGGTTGTTAAATGGTTTCTTTCCTTCGTCTATCTTGAATTTTTGAAACAGGTATTGGAGTCTACTGATCATATAAATTCTTGCAAACCATTGAGCCGCTCAGACCCTTCTTATAGGGAGACATTAGAGTTCATACGGAAATTAACGGCTTATAGTTGAGGCCATTCTGCTGGATTGAGACAATAATGTATGTATGACTTTGCCTAACTCGTCATTTTCCGTTCCTTACCCCATCTTTCTTCCATCGTTGCAGGTGAACGGTGAGTTTGCCTCTCGGGGGTTGTAAATACTGATTAGCGTCATTTGTACATAACAGGAAACAAGTGTTACGCGAATATGTGTATTCTTTTTCTTTTTTTTTCCCTCTCTGGCGAAGAATATGCATATTCATATCTCATGCGTTCTCACTTCTCCGCATCTATTTATGCGCTAACCCATTTGATTTTCACTATCTGCCGAGTTGATTTTATCTATGAAGTTATTTTGAATTCGTAGCCTCGGCAAGATGTTTCAGATTTGTTGCAAACCAAAATTCTAGTTCAGAACTCGTTCGGAGCAAATGTTACCGGACAAATATAAATAAATGACTTGAAAAAACTACGAAAGGGATTTAACACCCTATTTGAGGGTTACATTAAATCAAGTTGCTGGTACTCTTTGTTTAGTAGATAAATACAATTATGTCTTCAAGTGAATAAGCGGGTGCAAAATCAGTCATTAAAAAAAAATCGAAGTCAACATAGAAAATCGGGTTCAATAATTATTTTTAAATGAAAAAAAAAATCCATGCACTCATGAAAGGCCCTTCTCACAAGCTAATGTCTGAAAGTGGCCTTGGTAAGTTATGAAAGAAATGGGAGAGGCAAAGAGGCTAACATTAAGGCTTTGTTTGGTTCAGTGTAAGGAAGGAGAAGGGAGATTAATTAAAAGAAGAGAAAAAGAGGGGAAAGGAGGTCATGGGTTTTGTTTGGTTGGAGGGGAGGGGAGATTTCTTGTTTGGTTCATAAGAGGAAGGGAGGGGAAGTAATTATAAATTGACAAATATGTCCTTATCTATATATTTAGACTACTTTATTCTTTTATTACAATATTTATATCAAAATTATTATTTCTTAATTTATCAATTTCAAAAAAACCAATTACCTCACTTACATGTGATCAAAAAAATTATGATAAAACTGAAAAAAATTAGGAAATATGATAAAAAGCTTAGTATTCTATTTCATTAATTTTATAATTATAATACACACGCATGTGTATTAATATATATGATATATATTATATAATTATAATATACACACGTTATGATATGTATGTATTAATATATATGCATGTTTACCGCCCATCTGAGATTATAATACACACACGCCATAATATATAATTATAACACACACACGTTGTGATATGTATATCAATTGGTGTATATGAAAAATAATTCAATTGCTCAATACATTATATTTTTATTAGTTCCACTCTCAAAAATTGATTAAAATTATTCTCAATTTGAGTGTTTTTTTTTTCCTATTCGTTTTCTATTTATGCAAAATATAAGCCATGCTACACTATTATATCAACACAAGTTGGAACTTGGAATTAATAGAAAACAATCATACAACGGTAAGTCGGTAACCTCCCTTATAGTATAATAATACTGGCTGAAGAGAGAAAAGGGTTTCTAATAAGAGGGGTAAGTTTGAAATATTAAAAAGCTAGTATGAGTAATTTAGTCAATATTAGATATAATATTTCTCTCTCCTTCAAAAAACCCCAAATTTGGATGGGAGTAGAAAGAAAGGAAGAGAGCACTAAAAGACAAATTTCTTTCCTCCCCTCCTTTTTATTTTTTTCAACCAAACACACTTATCTCATCCCCTCCTCCCTCCTCTCCTCCCCTTCTCCCAACAACCCTCCAACCAAACAGAGCCTAAATGTCCAAAATCCAAATGGTTCCTAAACGGACTCGATGACTTCATCGTTGCACTTGTCTGCCGTACTATAGAAGCTACTTAAGCAGGGAATGCAGCTCGAAATAGTTGGAGTGACCAGTTGAAGTGAGCACATTTCCAAGGGAGAAATTGTTTGAGCATATTGGCTAACGTATTCTAGGGTTCTCGAGACACGAGTTTGCCGAATAGCGTTTGGATTTCCTTAGTTACTTAATTAATCAAGTGAGAAAATTAAAAAAAATAAATGGAAAAATGTCAGTGCTCATTGCAATTGATGTTTCATAATCCTCTGATGAATAAATACATTTCTAGTGCTGCATACAGAACCCATGTGAATTTTTCAAGAGGAAGCCAAAACTCTGACCTTTTCCTTCGCCATATATTTCTCAATGCTAAAAGAAAACAAATACCCTTCAACACAATTTTTCCTTTGCCTTGGATCCCTACTCATTTTATGAATATCGTAAATGGAAACCAATATATGGTCCGGTAATCTCTGTTTTCACATAGTTTCTCAGCTATCATTGTCAAGCTCACTCTGCATTGTGCTAGATCAGATTCCTTAACTCTTAGGTCTCGTTTGGTATGAAGCATTGAAAATGAGGGACTGAAATTATAATTGCAACTGAAAAAAATTATTAAAATAGTACTTAGTATGAGTAATTATTTGTTATATGGGATTAAGCAAACCCATAAAGGTGGGATTGGGGAATACCACTTCCCCTATGGTATTCCCCAATCCCACATATATGGCTTTGATTAATCCCATATATCAAACAATTTCTTATACTAAATACTCTCCTAATAGATTTTTTCAATTGTAATATCAATTCCAATCCCTCATTTTTAGTACTTCCTACCAAACGTAACCTTAGTTCTTTCTTGTCTTATATATATGACACACCTCATAACTCTGTGTAATGACAGGATTGAGGGGACGTAAAATCGATGAAGAAATATCCATTAACGTTAAGGTTAGTAATTCTAGTGATCACTTCATTTTGTGCAGGATACATTTGCTACATTTGTGTGGGGCAGATAACTATTGGTACAAATAGCATCTTACTTGAAATCGAAGAGGCTAAACACTCATGTAGCCCTTCTGGAATCCGAGCATCGGAAGTCCCATGCTTGCATTATCCGCAACCCGACACATTATTTAGCAGGTATATTCTCAGAGAGAATCAATATGGCGTCAGTTTACTTAATTCAGATTTCGGCATTATTAATGATGAATGCGCAGAGAGGAGTGTGCTTGCAATCCCGTTCGGTTCTTCACCATTATTTCGATGCAAAGATCTGGGAGCGGATGGTTTGAGACATTGCTAAATGGTCACATTAATATGAGCTCCAATGGAGAAGTGTTCTCAACAGGCAAAGGAAGGCAAAGCATCACTTCCATTTTGAACACAATGGATAAAGTGTATAATCTTGATTGGTTCACCAGTGCTTCCAAGAACGAGTGCTCTGCTGCTGCTGGCTTCAAGTGGATGCTTAATCAGGTGCATGCCAATTCATTCTTTAGTTTTGCGTTGCTAAATATGAATTTGTATTCTGTACATATTCTTATGAGGCTTTAAAATGTATTGCAGGGTTTGATGGACTATCACGAAGAGATAGAGGAATACTTCAACACAAGAAGAGTTTCCTTGATATTTCTGTTTAGAAGGAATTTGCTGCCAAGAATGGTGTCTATGCTAGCCAATATTTACGACAAAGACACAAAGCCACTGAATGGAACCCATAAATCTCATGTGCACTCCCAAAAGGAGGTCTCTTTATATATATATATATATATATGCACTGTCTCTGGTCCTAAATGTAAGAGCTCGTTTGTAGTGTAATTTATACTAGAAACTAATTCTTATATTTAGGGCTGGATGTAATGTGTATGTATATAATATCTGTCATGTGAATCTATTATTCGATGGCCCTTAACATGGATAAGTGTGAGTGTAGGCTAAAATTCTTGTCAAGTACAAATCTTGAATCAATATCTCTCTACTGATACTAGAGCTGAAACAAAGAAAATAGTTGCAAAAGCCATTGAATACTTTAAGAGCACACGTCACATTGTTCTCTACTATGAAGAGTTTGGCCACAACTATACTATATGAGACGTGTTACCAAATTCACAGCTTAAATTTTACTATATATGTCACTTGTTAATGCCAAGCTTCCCATTTTCTGCCACAAAAACTAAAGGATGTTCACGAATTTTGGGGAGTTTCATATAGGGATCTACAAAGCTATTGGGTGAAGATACATGTTACTCGATTATCTAAACAAATTGAAAATTGGAACCAAGTAAAAAAAAATTGGAAGAAACGTCTTACCAGAGTTTTCTCTAGTCACACTAATAGAGCAAATTTTATCTTAAAAAAAAAAAACCTAGACCATTGTGATTCATCATTTGATGTACTTTATAAATAGGCAATACTTTGCCACTAGTTATAAGACTAATTATTTATCCAGTATCTCAGTTTTCAAGTTGATCTATTATTTTCATTTCTTAGATTTCTCCCAATATGTGTAAAACTTTGTCCATCCATTGCTTCCTATTATAAGTCATATTCCGTAGGGATGATCCCTCTCATCTTCTACACATATGACATTTTTGGTTGTGCGGTTGTTTTAAAGAAACACTCATTGCTATTTCAAAATTAATCAAGAGAATAAGACAAAAAACCATGAATAGTTCTGCCCTTTTTTTAGTAAATGGTTTTATTTCATAAAAGGAGCACCCTACCAAAATATACGAGAATCAAAATCCTTTATTAAAATCTACCTCAGGGAGACCTAGTGGATGGTGATCAAGAATGCAAAAAATATCTTCCACCAAGTGAGAGGATCTAAGTCAACTGTACCTAAATCTTTCCTATATCTATGCAAAATGCTAACCTGTCAATTCTAATTTGTTACCCTCAATCATGAAGAGGTGGTTAGAATCGCATCCCCTCATGATTAAGATTGATGGCTTCAAAATTTGCCTTATTTTAACCATTCGTGGGCTTATTTTTTATTGAAAACAATTGACAGTAAAATAAAACAAACAATAATATGCTTGTGCGAGGCTCAAGTGCATTTAACAAGGGCAAATCTTTTTTTCGGCCATCGAGCACAAATCAAAGAAGTGAAGATTCACGGTGTTGCATTCTTCACTGGGTTCAGTGCCCAACACAGTGGCCTATAACATCTCGAATCTACCTCCATACTATCAATTGGGATTAAATGTTAATTAAGGTTGAGTCAAGATTAGACGTAATCCACGACACACCTTGAACAAGACTCAGGTCAAGCCCGAATAAAAGCCTAAATCCAGCCCATTTCACAAATGTCTTTTTTTTTTTTAGGGTTTAAACAATTTTAAAAATCGATCCTATCCCGCCCGATAGACTGCGCAACCTCAGCCATCCGGTTTAATCATTCTACAGCGGTCGAAATTAAATTTGCTTTTATGGAGGCAGCCGAGTTACCAACAAAATGGCACTAGGGTCTTTTTTTTTTTTTGGGAATTGGTAGAGACAAGCAAAGGTTGATACAATTAAAGGACTAACAGAAGTCTTAGCTCATGTCACGTGCATATTGGGCCGCACAAACAGGAATAACAATCAAAATACATGGGCGTCCTGTCCGCGTTGCGAGCATTCTTGACCAGAAGATCAGCACATATTAATACTTCTCTATGCGAGTGAAGAAGTTCAAAGGTCCAGATCTCAGCTATAGCTAGTAAAATTTCTTGGATAATATTCCCAAGAGGGTGCCCGTGATTACCATCTCTAAAGACCAGATATTTTTCATCTTACACGTTTGGATCCCCGTGAGAATGGCAAGTAGTTCGGCTTCAGTAGGAGAAACACAGCCTAGGCTCTGTTTGAAACCTAGTACTACCCATAAACCTTCCTAGTTCCGAATTCCACCGCATGCACCATGTTGAAGATTGGTGACGGAAGCGTCCACATCAATCCTAAGGAAATCATGTTGAGGGGGCGTCCATGTTGCTGCATCCCTGCTTGTGATTTGAAGAATCATGCTAGTAAAATTTCGATGATCTCTATCCTCCAACGGTTTATGAAGACAAATATTCCTGATGATTGAAGGTTGGTAGTCTTTCCCTTCAAACACTTTCTTGCACTAGGGTCTTTAGCTTATGTCACGTTGCAGTAACTATTTTTTCCCCCTTAATTACTTCCTAAATAATGTTACAGGTACGAGAAATCATTGAACTGGCCTGTTGGCCGATGTGGCATCAGTCTTATCTGTTCGTTCAATAACAAAACGGTCGACAATTTTAACAGTATGTATTGGATCTTGGTGGGCTATAGCCGCCCTCCACTTGCTGGGAAACCTTCTCAAATGGCTCATCTGTTGAGGATTTTTCTGCTCTCCCTCCCAGTCAGGGTCAAGCTTCCACTCCTTCGGGACCTGCATGCCTAATGCGTTAGTGCTGCGATATAGACCCAGGATAACTCAGCAACTCAAATCCAACCGAACATTAAAAAATTATAACGAAACATTGATTTCTGCTGAGCACTGATGATTCTGATAAGTTCCGGTTAGTTCTGGAACCCAGCTAATTGTATCAAATGTTATTTTACCCATGATTTTCCATTTACTTTTTTGCTTCCTCGGGCCGAAATAACAAGCCTTGTCCAAATAGATGAGGTTGGCTACATTGTCATTTTTTCCTATGAACAACCAAATCTTTGAAAAATGGAGTAAAACATTAAGAAAATATCAAGTAAAGAGTGCAGACCAAGCTTTTTTTCTTCATATTATTGCACATTTTCAAAATAATGGAGTTTCATCTCAAAATGTAGAACACTCCATTGCCGCTCGGTATCTCTCACCCAAAGGAAGCAACTCAATATCTCACCTTATGGCTTACGCTAATCAGTAATTTGGTGAATAATGATTCTTACCTTATCGACAGCCAGAGTGAAAACTTCAAGATCACCATCAGATTTAATGTGAAATCGTGTGAATGCCTTGTAATTAGCTATTCGAAGAGACGAGAAGGCCTCGTCAAAGTGTATGTGAAGCCAGTTGATGCAAATGTATAGGTAGCTTCCAAACACAAGGGAAACAACAGGAGTTGAAAAGACCCAAAAATAAAGGAAGACGGATGCATAATATATCACTGCACCCCCCCGAGAGAGAGATTCCATTCCATTCTTGCAAATATTGTTCCTCGTAACAGCCATGACCTAACCAAATATTCTCCTTTAATTAAAATTGCCCAGAATGACAGGAAGGATGAAACTTCTGGTAGACAGAACATTTTTACCTCGGGAATATCAAATGCCGACATTAAATACTTGATGCATGCTGGATAAAGTCCAAATGTCCATTGTTCAATTCGAGCACGAAGACCAGTAGGATCTGGAAAGTGCTCACTTTCCACTGATCTATACCACTGATATAAAGTGTGATAACCTGGTTTACACAAAAATTTTCACACACACACACACACCAAGCCAAGTTACTGAGCATTTGGCATATTTTGGGGATATATACATCAATATGTTATCATAAGATTTAGGCAGTATGCAAGGTTCCACCAATGCAAGTCATCCAACAAGAGAACCTGAAAGCTAACCTGAAGTCGCCAGTAGTTTATGCTGGATACATGTCTCGATACCTAGTTCCAGAAGCAGCATGAGAATCATTGCCGCTGTGAGGTGAGCAGAAACATGAAGAAGTCCAACTACTGTTCGTTTCTTCCGTGACAGCTTGGATGGAACAAAAGAGTATGCTGTGATTAGCAGTAGTATGGCTCCTGCTAGCGACACGTAAGAATGCTCCAACATGTATATAAATCCATTCCATGCTGTGCCAAAGAAACTCCTCAATTGATCAGAGAATGAATCATCTTGCAGGATGTGATTCAGCTTACACTAGAAAACAAGTACAACAGAATAGTCACACGTTACTTAACTCACCTTGTCAAATAAGTAATATGTGAAACTCAGAGAAAGACAGAAATGGCTTAACAGGTGCAATTAAAATTTGGAAAGAAAGTAGAACAAATCTGGAAATAACAGATTGGAGAAACTCACTTGCGGAAACATTGAAAACACCAGCACAAAATATATAATGCCACCAATAAAATCAAATTGCCAGTTCTTCTTTCGAAATTTAAGGATATTTCCTAGTGCAATCTGCATCAAAATCATAAACACGTACTATTATGTGTCAAAAAGAAGATCCACAATGAATTTCGAAATAAGCAACTATTATCCACATACCCTGCTTGAATCTTCAAAGGATGGATATGCTGCCTTGCATTCATAGGAAACTCCATGAATGAACACATGGGTGGGGTGCAGAAATGCTCCTCCACAACCGTTTATGAGGAGATGATGAACAAGAACTGGCCCATCTGCTTTTACATGAGAATGACGCATATAATGATGCAAATCCCCAGCCATTCGAAGTTTACATCTTCCTCTTAGAAAGTCACGAATCAGGTGTGAAACATTCCTTCCAGAAACGGCATTCCAATACCAATCAAGAATCCAATTAGGTTCATGTGTTATGATGACCACGGAGTCATCCTCTTGAACCTTGGTTAAACGTGGTCACATGAGGTTTAAGCTCAATCAATTGGCAATACCAAAAATGAGGCGTAAAGCAGATTAGAGGTCAGTCACATAAATATAGAGGAGACGCATGTAAAAATCTGCTAATCACAGGTTTAACCATAACATTGATCAGGGATTCAAAAGCAACAAGGTAAACTAGAATAAAGAGACTAGATGTGATGATCATAGAAAGAACGATTAATTCAATATGAAATCAGTGAAAATAACGCCAAAACAAAGTTTGATAAGCCCCATTAGGAACTCTTTCTTGATGGTAAATGTGATAACAAGTCAATTCATACTCGTTCTCTTTTATTTTACATCAATACTTAATAACCAGATTACCAGATAACCAACTGAATCAAGTGTTGAAAATGCTGACATTTTTAATCATTTCAATAAAATAAAATTTTTGACACTTCAATCATCTTATACAAGTAGACAGCAGATCACAATATAAAACTCCAGTTCTGAAAGCCAAACTTTGCACACGAGTGCTTTTACCAAGTATTCTACCAATAAATCTAAATTAA